GTCACTCAAGTGGCCACGCCCTTAATTATGCAGAACTTTAAGACTTAATATAATTTAAACGGATGAGGTATAAAAAAAATTCACCCCCCTCACAGTTGTCATGAAGGGCGAAATTAGCTATATAGACCAAAATATTGTTTTGAACCAGGCTGTAAACATGTTTTTTTGTGCTGTAAAGTTGGGCATTTTAACATGGGGAGTCTATGATTGACTCCCTTTTGCAGCCAGCCTCTAGCGGCCAGTTGACGAATTACAGTTTAAATCACTTCCTTGTTGGCTTCATGAGAGAGAGCGGGAGGTTGCCGCTTGGTTACACTAAGTACCAACAAGACAAAAATGGGAAACATAGTAATTGACAGCAGCATTTAAAATATTATATTATTTTTTAAACTTTTTCTAGTGCATGCTGTTATTTGTTTAAATTTAATCTACAAAGTATTTTGTAGATTGCTGCATGAAAGATTGTATAAAAAAACTGCACATAATTTATTTTTTACTGTATGTATATAAATACTACCATTCAAAAGGTTGGAGTTGATAAGATTTGTTCAATGCTTTTGAAAAAAGTGTCTTGTGCTCAGCAAGGCTGCAATAATTTGATCAAAAATACAAAATAATATTGTGAAAAAGTATTACAATTTAAAATAACTGCTTTCTATTTAATATATTTTAAAATGTAATGTATTCCTTTGATGCAAAGCTGAATTTTCAGCATAATTTCTCCAGTCTTCAGTGTTACATTATCCTTCAGAAATCATTTTGATATGTTGATTTCCCCCCCAAAAAAGTTTTTTGAAACATTATACGCCTTTACTGTGACTTTTGATCAGTTCAATAGAATAAAAGGTTACACTTTACTTGAAGGGGTGTGCATAAGACTGACATGACACCTTCATAATCATGACATGACACCTACATAATCAAGACATGACACATGTCATGAATATGAAGGTTTTTTATGCATGTTTATGACAACTGTCATTAAGTGTCATTTGCTCAGTTATGTAATTTTTAATGCAAAGATGACATTTAAAAATGACATAACTGAATGGGCTATGGTAAGGGTAGCGGTAGGGTTAGGTTAGGGTAAGGTCAAATAATGTCATATTTGCATTAAAAATGACATAACTGAGCGAATGACACTTAATGACAGTTGTCATAAACATGCATAAAACCTCCTTCATATTCATGACATGTGTCATGTCATGATTATGAAGGTGTCATGTCAGTCTTATGCACACCCCTTCAAGTAAAGTGTTACCGAATAAAACTTAATTTCTTTAAACAAAAAAACAAAAAATACAAAATAATAATAAAGCCTCACTAAAATGAATCATACTGCTCAATGTTTAGGCGAATGCGTTTGATTATTATCTTACATCCAGTACAATATGACAAGCATTGTCACAACATTGTAGTACTTTATAGTGGAACAAAAATGAAGTTATGTTATTAGTGTCACTACTTATAATCCATTACTCCCCAGTTTTACTTAAATGTCATTTTATTTTTCATCGTCCCCTCTTCTGTTGCCCGTCTCTTCCTCGAACATTCTTGTAGGATGTGAACAGCGTGACCATCTCTCCCAATGACAAGCTGCTGGCCTCTGGCTCTCAGGATCGCACGGCTAAACTCTGGTCACTGGCGGATATGAGTCTGTTAGGCGTCTTCAGAGGTCATAGTCGAGGTGTTTGGTGTGTTCAGTTCTCTCCTGTGGACCAGGTCTTGGCCACGGCCTCAGCGGACGGCTCCATCAAAATCTGGAGCATTCAAGAATTCAGCTGCCTCAGGGTAAGTTACACGTACATGTTTAAAGAACTGTTTTGATAACTTTGATATGTGAATTCTAGAGAGTATTTGGTCACACTTTATTTAAGGTCCAATTATCGCCATTAACAAACCATTAACTATGACTTTTGCATAAATAAACTCCTAATTTGCTGCTCATTAATAGTTAGTAAGGTAGTTGTTAAGTTTAGGTGTTGGGTTGGTTTAGGGATGTAGAAAATGTGCTTTATAACTACTAACAAACCACCAATATGTTAATAATAGACATGCTAATAAGCAACTAGTTAATAGTGAGAATTGGTCCCTAAGCTAAAGTGTTACCTAGTATTTTTCCCATTCAATTTTTTCTTGTAATGTAAGGATATAAAAAAAAATCTGTTAAATTGTTACAAGCCATGAACCAAGCCAACAAGCAAAGAGGTTAATCACAACATTGATTTAAAGCCAACTAATTGAAAATCAAACAAAAAGATATAGGACTGTGTACTCGTAGCTTTAAAGAGGGAAAGAACTACAATCCCATGAAGCATTGCAAGTTAAAAACTTTTTTAAAATGTAAAAGAAATATGAAACTGTTGATTTAATTTGGTCAATTATGTATATAGAAACAACATATTGTACATTTATTGCAAAATATGCACATATTTAAGTAGTATGAGAGTGTAGGGAAACTGACTCTACATTAATCATAGTGCTTCATGTTGGTGGTCGGGCCTTAAAGAGTTTGCTGTGATTTCAGTTCTCTGATTCTCATTTTTGCCCACGAGTTGATATGATTCCTTTGGGTCTTAATGATAAGTCTATAACATACTTTGGTTAAAATTTCTCAATGGTAGTGTAAAACAATGTGCATGTCCCTTTAAATGTTAATGAGCTCTGCTCACCCCGCCCCTCTCTTCTGTGGGGTGATGAGCCATTCTGAGACCGTAAACTTTTAGCCGCATTCATCGCGAAACTTGCTAACTAGTACGTTATTAGGAAAGGCGATTTGCAAAGATTCATAAAAGAAACTTATACTCAATTCTTCTGTAGGTGAAGCTGGATTTCGAATAATTCACGTGAACATAAACACATTTAGGTAGAATGGGGGGCGCATTCCCTTCAAAAACAAACGTAATCCACTGCGTCTTCAGTGGCTCAGATGTCGGCAGTAAATGACGACTGCTTTTTGTGTAAAATGCACTGATGAATCATTGGGGACCAGGAGCAAGTATCAGGAAAGAAAAGGGGGTACATGTTTAATTTGTGTTGACATCACTGAGAGAAACCATGAGAAACCAAACTGTATTTCAATTGCTGAAAATTAAAGGGATTGTTCACCCAAAAATGCAAATTACCCCTTGATTTGCTCACCCTCAAGCCACCCTAGGTGTATATGACTGTCTTCGTTCAGATGAATACAATCAGAATTCTATAAAAAAATGTCCTAGCTCTTCCAGGCTTTATAATGGCAGAGAATGGTGGTTGAAATTTTGAAGCCCAAAAAATTGCACCCATCCTTCATTAAAAAGTTACAGCATTTCTGTAAGAAAAATATCCATATTTAAAACTTTATAACCGTAATCTCTAGCTCCAGTGGATGATGTAGGCGTAGCATAAGATCCGGTGAGAATATGCTAGTCTCGCGAGAACCAAGTTTTGTTTACAGCAAAGGAAAACCAGTCTACTCTTAGCTAATATCGAAATCCTACGACATTTGTCTTTACAAATCCTAATTTTCGACTTCTTATTTGTGACGGGGGTTTTGTTTAGCTTTCTCCTCTGTGCTTCCGCGTTCGTCACTTCTCACCGGAGTTTACGCTAATCCTGCGTCCTGCGTCATCCGCTGGAATGCTACCCTCTCCTGAACACGTGTAAGACATTTAGCAGAAGCTAGAGATTACGTTTTAAAGTTTTAAAGGTGCTGTATGTAGGATTGACACAGAGTGGTTGGACTAGGTATTGCAGTCCAAATTCAAAATATTTGGAGAGGGTTTTTTTCACCTGGCCCCTCCTCCTCAGACTAGACACACACGCAGGTTGCCAGATTGACGACACCAACAGGAACGAGTGCACATGACGATGAATGAAATACGCTGTGGTTTCCACTAACTGGCAACCCGTGGTGCCGAAATACAATTGGGTAAACTGGCAGTGGGCGGGTTTTACAAACCAAAACAGAGACCGACTTTCCGGCCCGGAACGCACATTTTCCAAAGGAGAATAACTGACTGTAGCATTGTTTTTCAGATAAACAAGTAAGCATGTTTCTTAAATATCTGCAAACATATTATGGTATTTTTATGCGTTAGTAGAGTCAAAAACGTACATAAAGCATATTATTCTTACGCAAATACATTGGTTCACTTCAGAAGGCCTTTATTAACCCCTCAGAGCTGTGTGGAGCACTTTTTATAATGGATGGATGCACTTTTTTGGGCTTCAAAAACTCACTGCCATTATAAAGTTTGGAAGAACCAGGGCTTTTTTTTTTTTAAATAACTCCGATTGTATTCGTCTGAAAGAAGAAGGTCATATACACCAAGGATGGATTGAGGGTGAGCAAATCATAGGGTAATTTTAACTATGCATTTAACATTGACATTCAAGTTAAATATTGCATTCAAATCATTTCTGTTTTATCTCTGCAGACGTTTGATGGACATGATGCCTCTGTGCTAAAGGTCATATTTGTCAGTCGAGGAACTCAACTAGTGTCTAGGTTTGTTTATCTATTTCCTTACTTTTTCTGACCGCGGTTCAATCGGTTCACATGGACTGTGTTCATCTATGTAAACTTTCATTTTCATGAGAACTGTTTGCAGATGTTTGCAGTCTTTCACTGAAGTTGAGCTTGTGGTTCATAGACTGCAGCTTTGCACTAGTGACCCGGCTTTATTTCTCTTGTCATTCTTCAGTGGTTCTGATGGCCTTGTGAAGTTGTGGACCATAAAAACAAACGAGTGTGTGAAAACATTTGATGCTCACCAGGACAAAGTGTGGGCTCTGCATGGCAGCAGCAAAGATGACCTGATGGTGACGGGATCAGCTGACTCCACCATCACACTGTGGAAGGTCAGTCCACCCGACATATCCTACCTGAGCAATGTGCTAAAGCACAGTTAAACACAGGAATGTGAAATGAAACAAAGCAAACTGTGTTTTGTGCTGCATGTGATACATGCAATCATTAATGTTTCCCTTACCAAGACAAAAGGACCATTGTTTACGCTGTGGCACTGTTCATTATAATTAATACATTGCAATAAAGCCAACAACACACACAAAAATCTAGGCCATGTTTATGATTTACTTATTCAGATGTTGTCTGATTAACTCCCATAAAAATACCTATTTTTTGGGCTAAGTAGGTCAGCAGGTTAATAACAGATGTTTTACTGCCAGTGCGTTACAGCATGAATCTGCTGCAGTGATATATCCATGCTGAATACATATGCACACATGATTTAATGCTGCCTTTAGGCGTTTATTCTAGTCCTAATTACGTTGACAGATGTGAATTTGACAAATGTGTGCTAGTGCTTACAATACCAGTCTGTGCAACATAACAGTTCTTCTTTTATAGTTGCATTTAAAACAAAGGAATGGAATTTCACAACTGGAGGATCATTTCATACACGATTCTTATTAGACAACACTCATTACATGACCAAAAGTATGCTCTTTTTAATTAACAGGCTATTTCTGCTACACCCATTACTATGTGAAACTGGATGCTGATCTATAGTGCCATGCTCCCAAAATGCTGTCTTTAGTGCACAAATAATATTTTTCATATTTCAATAATTATTTATTGGTTATGGTTGCTGAGTATTTGTTTCTATTGTCTATATATATTGTCCCGTTTCAGTGCATTTGTTTGTTTCTATTTCTCATTGTCTTTCTCTTCTGGTTAGGATGTGTCTGAAGTGGAGCTGGCAGAGGAGCAGGCCAAACAAGAAGATCAAGTCCTTAAGTAAGTCACTGCCCGCATTGCAATATGTAACAAACAAATGCAGTCAGCCGTATAGACATGTGATTGAAGACTGACAAGCTAAGCAAAACTCCTTCACCTCCTTTTGTCTTTTAAAGCTGCCATCTCTTGTCAACTGAATCCTGATGTTGAAACAACATTGTTTCTTAAATCCTTAAAGCAATTTAGTTTTACCTGATCTGATTCCATCTATGCTCGTCTTAAAACATCATCGCTTAAACATGATAACAGACTGAATTCTGGACTTGTTATGGTCATATTAATTATTAGTGCCATTTTCTTATGTTAAAGGCATAGTTCACCCAAAAATGAAATTTCTGTCAACAGTTACTCACTCATGTAGTTCCAAAGCCATAAGACTTTCAATCGTCTTCAAAACACAAATAAAGATATGTTTGATGAAACCTGAGACATTTCTGTCAATTAAACGTCTCCACCAAAACTTGTGGCAAATCTATATTTTGTCACTATTTGTCCTGAGGTGATGCAATCCTAATGAATGGACCTATTCATAAAGAGTCCATAAAGATCCATTTGTATTAAGCAGTTCTCATGTTTTATTACGAAATATTTTTGTTTCGAAAGCTGAAAGTCTTATGTTTTTAAATGATGTGATGTTGAGTAAACGATGACTGAATTTCGATTTTTGGGTGAACTGTCCTTTTTTATATACACCTTTTTGAATTTATCCAAATCGTAATGTGTCACAAACATGTAGTTTGAGTGTTTATGAATTTTTTTGCGTCTTCATAGGCAGCAGGAACTGTCAAATTTACTTCATGAGAAGAAGTATCTGAAGGCTCTGGGAATCGCTATCTCTCTGGATCAGCCGCACACTGCATTGCGAGTTATCCGAGGTACTTTTTCTTTCTTTTCTCTGCATAAATGAGTCAACATGCTTGCTTTACTTTCCAAACGCATTTATTTTAAATGGGCACTTTGATTGTTAGATATAAAATCAGGTAGAGCCACATTTTTATACTCCATGTTTACACACCTGCAATTTGAGACAATCCTCCGCTTATGTTTAATTGTCCTGTTTTGTTTTTTTGACAGGATTATTTTTAGAATGAACGTGAATGAGCTTTAGTTCTTGAATGTCGTAATGCAAACTCTGGCTAATTTCCGATGGTGGCTTATGATTGTGTAAGAGGATGTTTGGTGAATAATTTCTCATTGTCTTGTATTTGAATGAGATTCTTTTAACCACAGTCATTTGTAAACACTATGACAGGTGTTCCTTGACAGCACTCCTTCAGAAATTTCAGCACCGCTCTTTTAGCAGAACTGGTCAGACCTCAAAAATGCCAAATCCATATTTTGTTACTATTTGTCATGAGGTGATGCAATCCTAATGAATAGACCTATTCATAGTGTTAAAAATCCTGGTTTTGCTCTGAATACATAATCTCTGAATTCATATATCATATATTATCCAAATATAACCGTCTTGCTTATTTTAAATATACTGTGTGTGTGTCAAAAGTTTACATAAACCTTGCAAAATCTACAAAAGTTAATTATTTTACCAAAATAAGAGAGATCATAATGCACAATGCATGTGATTTTTTTTTTTTAAAGTTCTGTTCTTAATAAGATATTTAAAGACTCAAGCATATGTAAACATTTGAACAGGTTCATTGTTGTGGACTGTATGTAAATACGTTTTGTGAAATATCTTATTCTTATTTCAAAAAATAACATGCATTTTGTATGACCATCTAATTTTGGTAAGATTCTGCAAGGGGTATGTAAACTTTTGACCACAACCTTATACAAAATAAATGTGATAAATAATATATTATGAATGATTTATATATGAATCATCTTATAATTTAGCATACATTTCGTGTCCATTAGGGCTGCACGATAAATCGCATGCGATATTTAATGCGCAGCTGTTGCGCGATTTTTTGCGCAGCTCGTCAGTGAACAACGGCTCTGTGTAGTTAATGCTGCTCAATGTGAAAGCCCGCAGGTGGAGATTTACCACTGATTACAGAACCGTCTTTCTGACAAGATGTGCATTAAATATCGCATGTGATTTATCGTGCAGCCCTAGTGTCCATCGATGATAGTTTTATATATATATACTGTATATATATAATATTTATTTAATTTATTTATTTAATTTATTTTTTTCAGAGATATTATATTTTATCCTATAAGAAAATACATACTATTTTGTTCACCTTATTTTTCAGTTTGCTTGAAATTGCCTTTATGTCCCTTAAATTACAGTTCTTGCAATGCCTGCTTTTTTTTTGCAGTGTCTCGAGTTCAGAAATAATGAGTAAATTCTACTATTCTACTATTAAATTTATGTCTACTCAAAAAAATAGAATATCGTGAAAAAGTTCATTTTTTTGTAAATTATTTCAAAAAGTGAAACTTTCATATATTCTAGATTCATTATATGTAAAGTAAAACATTTTTTAAAAAAAATTTAATTTTGGTGATTAGAGCTTACAGCTCATGAAAGTAAAAAATTAGAATATTTACATTTGAGTTTCATTAAATGACCATCCCTACAGTATAAATTCCAGGTATCTCTTGTTCTTTGAAACCACACTAATGGGGAAGACTGCTGACTTGGCAATGGTCCAGAAGATGATCATTGACACCCTCCACAAAGAGGGTAAGTCACAGAAGGTCATTACTGAAAGGGGTGGCTGTTCACAGAGTGCTGTATCAAAGCATTTTAAATGCAAAGTTGACTGGAAGGAAGACATTGGGTAGGAAAAGGTGCACAAGCAACCGGGATGACCGCAAGCTTGAGAATACTGTCAAACAAAGCTGATTCAAACACTTGGTAGAGCTTCACAAGGAGTGGGCTGAAGCTGGTGTCAGTGCATCAAGAGTCACCACACTCAGACGTCTTCAGGAAAAGGGCTACCGAGCCACCTCTGAAACAGAAACAACATCAGAAGCATCTTTCCTGGAACTGGACTGTTGCTCAGTGGTCCAAAGTTCTTTTTTTAGATAAAAGTAAATGTTGCATTTCATTTGGAAATCAAGGTCTGGAGTCTGGAGGAAGCCTGGAGAGGCACAGAATCCAAGCTGCTTGAAGTCCAGTGTGAAGTTTCCGAAGTCAGTGATGATTTGGGGAAAAATGTTTTATCAAGTCCAGAGTCAATGCAGCCGCCAATCAGGAGATTTTGGAGCACTTTATGCTTCCATCTGCTGACAAGCTTTATAGAGATGCTGATTTTCTTTTCCAGCAGGACTTTAGCACCTGCCCACAGCTCCAAAACCACTTCCAAGTGGTTTGCTGCCCATGATATTACTGTGCTTGATTGGCCAGCCAACATGCCTTACCTGAACCCCATATGGAATCTATGGGATATTTTCAAGAGAAAGATGAGAAACAGACGAGCTGAAGGCTCAATAGTGCCTCAGCAGTGCCACAGACTGATCGCTTCATGCCACACCTCAGTGATGCTGTCATTTGTGCTAAAAGAGCTCCGACCAAGTATATGCATGAATGAACACACTTTAAAGAACTTGAAGTTGTCTGTTTTGCTAATTCTTTTTTTTTTATTTGATCTTAGGAAATATACTGAGATACTGGATTTTTGACTTTCATGAGCTATAAGCTCTAATCATCAAAATTGAAACAAAAACTTTCACTTTTTTTACTTTACACATAATGAATCTAGAATATATATGCAAGTTTCACTTTTTGAAATAAGTTACAAAAAAAATTTAACTTTCACGATATTCAAATTTTTTGAGATGCACCTGTATACAGTATACCTTAGAAAAATAGACTGAGTTTAATTAAACTTTTCTTTCAAATAAGAAAATATTTAATGTCCACAAATTCTATTAACTGTGTCAAAGCTCTAATCATCAAAATTAAAACAAAAACTTTTGAAATGTTTTACTTTACACATAATGAATCTAGAATATATATGCAAGTTTCACATTTTGAAATAAGTTATAAAAAAAAATTTACTTTCACGATATTCGAATTTTTTGAGATGCACCTGTATACAGTATACCTTAGAAAAATAGACTGAGTTTAATTAAACTTTTCTTTCAAATAAGAAAATATTTAATGTCCACAAATTCTATTAACTGTGTCAATAACAAAACACCTCCCTGAACTAAAAAATGGTTTACATTTACATTTAGTCATTTAGCAGGCGCTTTTATCCAAAGCGACTTACAAATGGTTTATCATAAAATTGAAAACATTAATTTGATTAAAAAATGAAAATCAAAAACAAAAATAACCAAATGAATCATGATGATGCTCTTTAATCCTCAACAGAAATTCGGCAGCAGGAGGATGGGGTACAGGAGCTAGAAAAGACCCTCCTGAAGCTCCGTCAGGATCAGAAAGGTATTCTTCATGTGTTGGTACACTGCGTTAGATCACCAGGTTCATCTTGTTTGCATTGCCTGATTGTGTGACTGTGATTTGTGTCGTGTTTAGAGTCGGTGTTGCGATTCTCTGTGGTGTGGAACACTAATTCCCGCAGCTGTCTGGACGCTCAGGCCGTCCTGCAGGTGCTGCTCACACACCTGAGCCCAGAGGAAATCCTGCAGTATCAGGGCACTCGTACCCATCTCGAGGGCCTCATACCGTACACAGGTGGGTTACTGTTTTCATTCCAAATCAGTTCACCCATGATAAACATAATAAATTGGTATTTTTGAAGGTGAGCATCTGCATAAACAAACATTTAGAGTTTCTAGCAATTCCATTGAAAATAACAATATAAATATGATTGTTTCTTTTTTGTAGAGAGACATATGCAGCGGATTGGTCGTCTCCTGCAGGCCTCAATGTTTCTGGATTACATGTGGCAGAAAATGCGTATTACGGGTGGTAAAGACAGGTAAAAAAAAAAAAAAGTTCCCAAAATTTCCTTGTTGTGTATTCATTAAAATAGTGGTGTTTGCTGAGGGAAGCATCAGTATTATTGTTGCTCATGGGTAATGATCTGAACAAACTCTTAACTATGAGTATTAAACTTTGGTGCAAAACAAGACCTTTATGTTTGCGCTGTAAAAACGAATGATGCAACAACCTAGCAAACATCTTATTGTAGAGAGCCCAGCCAGATTTACATGGGCAAGCATTACTTAATTCTCGCTGGAGAGCAAATATACAAATCTAAGTAGGAATTCATTGTTTTATGGTTGTAAACGTTTTTACGCAAAAAACGATTGTAATGAAGTGGTGACTCGTGTAATTCTACAGAACTGTCACCAAGGAAATAAACATCTTTTCAAATCATTCAATTTTGTATGTGACGCACTTTACTGTGGTGACATACAAAATTGAATGATTTGAAAAGATGTTTATTTCCTTGGTGACAGTTCTGTAGAATTACACGAGTCACCACTTCATTACAATCTTTCAGGAAGTGGGTTTAAATAAATACAGTGCACCCAGATTTCCTTTTAACAAAAGTTAAACATTTCTTTCACCGTTTAACCCTTGTGTTGTGTTCAGAACCCTATCACACTTACGAGGTTACAGAGCAAAAAGGGCCCGGCCTCAAAAAATTGCTTATAAATCGCTCATTATGCTATAATTTTCACAATATTAAATAAAAACTGAAGAAAATCTGCACTGTTTATCACAATAGTGTGCTTTAATGCTTAATCAGGGTGTTTGTTTTGAAAGGCTTTTATTTTGTACAAAATGGCACAAAGTCACACTTGTGGTGTTCCCGGTCAAAAATGACCCGGCCTCAAAGAAATGCTTATAAAATCACTCATTATGCTATATTATCACCAAATATTGGATTCAATCTTTTTGTCAACTTATCTTTCATTTAGGACTGGTTTTGTATTTATATTTGCATCTGATTAATCGTAGGCCTCATTTATCTGAGAGTAGGCACCTCATTTTTTGAGTGAAAAAAAGCATTATTTATGAATAATTTTCACAATATTAAATAAAATGTGGAGAAAATGTGTACTGTTTATCACACTAGTGTACTTTAATGTTTAATCAGGGAGTTTGTTTTGAAAGGCTTTTATTTTGTACAAAATGGCACAAAGTCACACTTGTGGTGTTCCCGGTCAAACATGACTGGCCATTCAGAGTGAATGGGAAAGATCACAAAAAATTACCTTTATTTTGAAATGCTTTTATTTTCTGTAAAGGGGCAAAAAGTAACACTTTTGCTGTTCCCTGTCAAATCTGAACATTATGGCATACCAGAAAGAACACATTAAAGGGTTATTTTTTGCCCCTTTACAGAAAATAAAAGCATTTCAAAATAAAGGTCCTTTTTTTGCCCTGGAACATCACAAGTGTAACAAGGAGACAAATCTCCCCCAGAAAAGAATGAAAATGATCAAAACATTTTTTAGAAGTAGTTATACCCTTTGTGAACAAAGTCACAAAATTTCAGTCCAATGCGCTAACATTAACTAGTATTTTCGGGAAAAATAAAAAAAATTCAAAGCAAAAAGGACCCGAACACCACATGAAGGTTAAAGATTCACTCAGTAAACATCTTATTAGCTTTCACTTATTAAACGTCTTGCCAAACTTTCCCTGGCTATTGTCATCATCGGCTTGCTTCACTTTGGAGTATGTAAGGTATTCAAGCGAGTTTCTACAATTGTTGACACTTTTCCTGTGAACATTTAGAAAATGAATAATGCCCAAAGTTAAAATATGGTTTCAATTTAACACTTTTATTAACTCAGCTAGTCTAGTAACCAAAGTATGCAACATGTTTTTGAAATCTGAATGAAACTCATGCAAACAATATGATTTATGCACTAAATCAGTCGAAGGTCTTGTACAATCTGCATGTTTTTGAACGGTTAGGACAGACGTTAAAACCTGTGCCTCACAGCCATCGGCTGACGTCTGCCAGTGGACACGCACCATTAGTATTAATAAAAATCAACCCTTGAGACGTGAAAGGGCCAAACATCCAGGTTTTGTGAAAAAAATTAGTTTTATGGCAAGACTAATGTGGTGGGTGTTCTCAAACTTTTAAATGCACAAAGTTGTGGGTCATTCAGATTAGTTTTTTTTTTTTTAAGAAATGAAAACTTGTATTCAGTAAGGATGCATTAAATTGCTCAAAACTGACCATAAAGACATTTATAATGTTACTAAAGTTGTCGGTTTCAATAAATGCTGTTCTTTTGAACTTTGTTCATCAAATGATCCTGAAAAACATTGTAGCACTATTTCCACAAAAATATTAACTGTTTTCAACATTGATAATAATAAGAAATATTTCTTGAGCAGTAAATCAGTATATTAGAATAATTTCTGAAGGATCATGTGACACTGAAGACTGGAGGAATGATGCTGAAAATTCAGCTTTGCATCACAGGAATAAAGTACATTTTCAAACATATGACATTTTAACGTATTAAAATACAAAACGTTATTTTATATTGTACTAATATTTTACAATATTTCTGTTTTACTGTATGTATTTGAACATATAATGCAGATTTTATGTGCATTCTTTTAAAAACTCCGTGCTTTCCTTGTCGTTCATTTGAAAGTTTGTTCATTAAATCACCTGTTGGTCTGCTGTTTTTCTCTAGTGTGAACTTGGATGATGATGAAGGGATGGACACCAGTCCTCAATCCATCTTCATCGTAGACAAGCAACCGATGGACATGGCAGACATTCCGGGATCTCTGCAGCAACAAGAAGATGAAGAGGAAGATCTGGAGGATTCCGAAAAAAGAGAGGAGCTTCTTGATGAAGATGAAAGTGTCAGCACATCTAAAAGCGCTCATGTGAACGGCATGAAACCAAACGGGGTGAACAGTGCCGTAGATGAAGGTCAGGTGTCCAGTGAGGAGAGTGAAGACGAGGATGATGTCATGGAAATGACCACCAAATCTACGGATTCAGACCCCTCCAAAACAGCAGATATAAGGTGATTGGCTGCTGTGTCTGTCAATCATGAGTTTTTTTTTATTCAGTACTGATTGTTGAATTGATGGATTACTTATGATCTTTCTGAATGTTCTGATTCATCAACACAGTGTCGCTTGCACTCAAACAGGGGTTTCCTGTTTGTATAACCACACCAATTGCAAAATGCTGTTAGATTGCTTTTTTTTATGTAGTTTTGTCATTCTTCAAAATAAATCTATTGGAGAAGAAAAATAAATTGTATTCCCCTCAATGTGTTGGAAGTAATATTCAGCTTGGAGGTATATCCTAAGTTAAATATGCTTGAAAAAGCAAAAATTGTTTATAGTAATGTTTTTGCAATTATCTGGAAGTCAATGGGCAACATTTATTAATAGGAATAAACGTTCAAATTAAACCACTAAAAGGATGATTTAGGCATCTTTACATATCAATTGCAATATATTTTAGTGAGTGATGGTATGTTTTAAACTAACAAACAAAAGTGTTTTTGTTAAGAGCGTTTTCTGTGGAAATCAACAATGTCACCGTCCACAGAACTTGTACTGATCCTAGAACATTCCTTTATTATCTGACTCTTAGAGCATCACAGAACTTCTAGCACTGTTCAAACAACATTTCCAAAAACATGCTCTTACTATAATAGTGTGTATTCAGTCCTTCCTTTTTAATGATACTGTGGCTTTTTAGCTGCTTTGGTTTTCCTGAAATGTTCAGTATCTTGTGCAAGTAGTGAGTCATGTCTGCTTTAAAAAGTATTGAATGTTGGACATCTGAGATTGCCGTCAGTGTTAGATACACCGAGCGCATCTGTGATGCACAGCTCGAGTTGAAAGAATGCAGAGTGTGTACAATACACTCTCGTTGTTGACCGAATACCTTGGTGTCACCAATGCCAAACCCTACACTTTCAGATAAAGGAATAAATCAGCTGGTTAAGGTGGGATTGATTGAGTTGGAGCTAAGGATTGGAGACCTATGACTTGGATGTTGGTCCTTAAAGAACTGGTCTGACCCTAACCTGTGTTTTAGATATTTTCAGCACATGATATGCTTCTTTAACAATCCATTTGCAGGAATGAACACTCCAGTAATGCCAGTCTTTCGGTTAAATATTTTATTTGATGTTTACAGGCACTTAACATGGGGGAAAACCTGAAGAGTATACAGTGTTCAAGTATAATAGGATATACAATGCATATAAGGCACAAGTGATGTTTTCCACTATGGAAAAAGAGGGAAAACTAAGAAAGATACATGTTCTGTAGAAGATTCTAAAAGATTTCTAAGCTGTGTCGATCATTATCTTTTCTTCAGTTAAAGAAAATCTACATTTATCAGATCCAAAGAGCAGCTTCTCTAGAAACATGTAGACCCATCATTTGTAACATATGTAATAATTCAGTTCCAAGAATAAGATCTTAACTTGGTTCTAGTAGTATAAATGTGTGTAGTAAGAATCTCTCCATAATTTGTCCATCTAATAATCACAGTAGCATCAAGCAAGTGTTACGGCAGTGGACATTAATGCTTGTCTGGACCTGGACTCTTGGATGCTCTCCTCAAACATGTAACCTGAAGTGCTTGAGACATCGGCCTAACTAGTTCTCTGCAGGTTTTTGCATGTGACGGTGGTGCAGCGTTTGAGTATCTCCTGAGCTTTGGGTCTGGGTGGTATCTTGGGGGTGGAGGGCATCTTGTTGAGACTGGGGTCTGATCTGCTGCCGATCATCTTGCCGCCTTCGGCACTTTCAGGGCTCAGGCTGCCAGAGGAGTTAAGCGTAGGGGTGCGACTTCTGCGTAATTGCTCTTCCGTGTCCGAGCGATTTAGCGATTTACCGGAGAAGCTGCTGTCGTCGCTGAACTCTTCGCTGTCATCACTCAGACTGCTTTGCTGGCCGTTCTCGACAAACTCCACTCGGACTGATGGTGGAGTCAGCCGTGTTGTATGAGCATCCGGCAGTCTACTCATTGATCGTGACATCTGCTTATCTTTAGGGTCCAGGGTGCTTCCTGGAGGTCCCAGGTTACCCTGGGATCTGCTGAGCTCACGGCTGGAGACCTGCAGGAAATTTTCTCCAGGACGTTGAAGCTGTGCCAAGTCAAGAGTGGAGCTGGTTATCTCCCTCTTAGCAGGCATCAGGTGCATTCGTGGGTTATTGTATGGTTGCAGGTACATAGATGGTACGAATCCCGCCTTTCGATTGTACCTGAAATCAATGGGTAATTTGGTTTCATTCTTTGGAAGTCAACAAGGAAGAAGCATCATCTGCTCAAACTGCCAAAATGAGTCCACAAAAATGAGGATGTAAAGCAAGTGCCAAGTTTTTTTCCAGACTCTAGTGGACATCAAATGAGCAGGTAAAAGTTTCCTGCCCGTTAGATTACTGGTGTGTATTTCATCTGCTCATTTTCGTCAGTAAACGATATGAAGGTTTACCTCACTATCCACCAGCCGTTGTCGGACTTCTGTAACACCTCCACCACAGACCCGATCTCCACTGATAGTTCATCACTGTTCATGGCTTTGTAACTTTTGGCGGCAACATAGAAAACACCTGATGAATGGAAAAATAAGATCCGGTTAAGAACAACTTGGTGAACAGATGAATCAATTCTTACTATACATCAGCATGCGTTTCAAGTCCTGCTCCTGGAGGGCAACTCCAATCCTAATCAAACACACCAGGACCTGGTCCTCCAGGCGCAGTATTAGACACCCATGTACAAGGGTTATTATTTTGTAAACTGCTACAGGTACCAAAATTCATTCATTTTCAAAGTTAGTGGAATAAGCATAATTAGGTTGGTTTCCAAAAGAAGGCTGATTCAAGACACAAGAATGTCAAACTTTCACAGTGTGGCCAAACTGGTTTTGTTTCCAAATAAATACAGAATGCATTAGAAACTGCTAAACCGGTACTTACTTCCATCATCCATCACATCAGGACCATCATCATCCATCTCAGCTCTCTGCAGATACGGAGCAGGAAACCAAGCGAGATGTTTGGCTTCATTTTCCACCAGCCACCATCCTGATTAGAAAGTACAACAAGGTCAACAAACACCGAAGAGAGACTTCTGTGCTTCTGTGTAGTTTGGCAAACGATGAGTTCTCACCTTTTTGGTCTTTAATGAGCACATCCACAATCTCATCCACCTCAACCTTGAAGGGCCGGTTCTTGGTGTCCTTGGTCTCATAAGTAGCTATGCATCGGTATGTTTCAGTAACAAAGGGTTGAGTAACGTTGTTCATTCCAACATTACCGCTGCTCAGAGAGGTTTCTGATGGCATGATCACGATACTGTCGAACAAAACACAATCTTTAATTAGGCTCTGTTTCAGAGACTTCATGTAGTTTTGAAAATTCTAGCATGTATTTATTATTTTCTGCTCTGCTTGTCTTGGCAACATCAACCTTACCTGTTTTTTGCTAAGTCAGAATCGAGGTCCTGGGGTTTGGGAAGCAGGAACTGGATGAGCTCTGAGCTCTGGCAGAAACGGGGATCACTCTTCAGCAGTTCACTGCAGTATTCTTCCAGAGTGTTTCTCTCCGTCCTGACCCTTAAAAATGTAGTTACCAAATTTTTAAAAAGCGAATGATAATATTCTGTTATTCTATGATTTAAAGAATCAAGTTAACTGTTACCACACGAAGCACATTTTAGGTTCGTTGACGAAAATGTATTAATAATTATATATAAATTTTTTCATTTTAATTTATTTGCATTTATTATTGAATCAATGAATTAAAATGTAATGATTTTGCGTTACGAAGCTGTTTGTAATATCACATTATTATGTAATTATTATTATAGTATTTATATACAGTAATAAATCGATTAATTATACTAATGCTGATAAATTATAATATGTAGGCTATTGTCAGTAAAAGTTGTAATAAGTTGATACCCATTGACACTGACAAACATCATAATCTTATTCAAAACAACGGTAGCCTATATTAAAATGTTATTTATTTGACGGTGTCCTTGTTACAAGTTACATGTAGGCTACTTACTATTATAATAACAATAAATTAGGCTATGTAGGCTATAACTAACCCTAAACCAAATCCTCATCCTAACTCTAACCAGCAAATAGCTGGTACATTTAATTGGATATTACTCAGATGTAACTTAAATGTATAACTACACTGTGACAAGGACACCTTAAAATAAAGTGTAACCTGTAATAAAAAAAAAAACGAATGCAAAATGGGAATATAAAAAATGTGTCTTACTTTAGCTACTTCTTTCTGCATCACTCCAACCAGCTGAATGCTGACGGGGTGTCTTTGCTCGGCCATGCTGCAGGAGATGAGTCGTGCTGTCGGCTGTTGTTTGACTGAGCGCTCTTCTGATGCGCGCGTTATATTTATCACGCCTCCAGCCAGAGGCGGGGACCGCGTCGTGCCGCATCCAGCTCCCGCTGCAGTTTCACAAACCGGAGAGTCCGCTCTTACCTCATTCCTTGAAAAAGCCTGGATGGGATATCATGTGAGTCCCGATCAATCGATAAGAGAGTTTTTATGCTGTTCAATTGAGATTATGAACCACTTCATGCAGGGGCGTAGCCATCATTTCAGAAGTGAGGGGGACAGAATATATATATAAAACATTACAATATAACATTTCTGTAATCTATATAACCTACCAGTCAACAGTTTTTGAACAGTAAGATTTGTAATGTTTTATAAAGAAGTCTCTTCTGCTCACCAAGCATGCATTTATTTGATCCAAAGTACAGCAAGAGCAGTAATGTTGTGAAATATTTGTACTATTTAAAATAATAAATGCTTTCTATTTGAATATATTTTTAATGATTGCTGTGATCAAAGCTGGATTTTCAGCATCATTTCTCCAGTCTTCAGTGTCACATGATCTTCAGAAATCAGTCTAATATGCTGATTTGCTGCTCAAGAAACCTTTTTTAATTATTATTATTATTATTATTATTATTAATGTTTTTTGAGCAGCAAATCGGAATGATTTCTGAAGGATCGTGTGACTGGAGTAATGATGCAAACTAAATGAGCTTTGAAATCACTATAAATTACATTTGAAAATATATTTGAAATAGCCTAGTAAAAATATTTCAAAATGTTACTGTCCTGCTGTACTTTGGATCAAATAAATGCAGGCTTGGTGAACAGAAGAGACTAAAAATCTTACTGTTCAAAAACTTTTGACTGGTGGTGTATACTCTCGTTTCTAGCTTTTCAGTGGCTTGGAAATCAGATAACTGCTGGACAGTAACCAATAATAGTGATTTGCTTATATACTGCACTCTAAAAAATGCTGGGTTGTTTCAACCCAATGTTGGGTCAAATATGGACTAACCCAACTGTTGGGTTCAATTTTGGTTACATTTTTAAATGAGCTTTTTAACCCAACAGTTGGGTTAGTCCATATTTGACCCAACATTGGGTTGAAACAACCCAGCATTTTTTAGAGTGTACAAACACTTTTTTTTATCACATAGCTAATAAGGCAGAATAGTTTCTATACTGTAATAAATGTTATGTCAGTTAGCACTGCATTGTTCATATACTTTATTTATTACCTGGAGATGACTTGACAAACACAAATAAACCATATATTGTCGCAATCATATGTTTAATGTCTTCATGTTTCCAAACGTTTCTGTTTTTCTGAAAACAACTGTTTTCATACAGCAATAGCTGGACGCTTTTTTCCATATTAGGAATTTCCTCGTACGACTTTCTGCAGCGCCCTCCGGTTTCGAGTGTGAATGAAACATACACTGCACGGAGTGTTTAGCGCTCGGCGATGTTCATCTCGCCTTATTCTGAGTCCGAATAAAAACATCAGATCATGCACAGACTGTCCTGTCTCTTTGAATTGAAATCTATATTTATTCACACCAGCTCTTGAAAACCTTGAAACACGTCCCCCGCGTAATCTACGCCCCTGACTTCATGTGATGTGACAACATGCCCCGCTATTGTCAAGATTGTGTTCGCGTTCGTAACTATATGTTCTTGTACAATAATTCTGAAGTTTTCAACAGCGTTCAGGAACGCTATTAATTTGAAACAAATACATTTTGAGGTATCTGTCTAAACAAAAACTGCTTTTTGTAAGTAGCCTACACTCTTAAAAATAAAGGTGCTTCACGATGCCATAGAAGAACCTTTTTGTCTAAATGGTTCCATAAAGAACCTTCAACATCTGAAGAACCTTTCTGTTTCACAAAAGGTTCTTTGTGGCGAAATAAGGTTCTTCAGATTACAAAAAGGTAAGAAAGAGACGGTTCTTTAAAGAACCTTTGACTGAATGGTTCTTTGTGGAACCAAAAATGGTTCTTCTATGGCATCGCTTGAAGAACCTTTTGAAGCACCTTTATTTTTAAGAGTGTACACAGCCTACTTGTAGGCTAGTCAAATTGTACATATTCTCACATATAGCCTATCAAAGAACTAGTCATTTCATTCTACCGTTGTACCACAATCATTAAAAGGGTTGGGTTGATATATTTTGGGATATTTTTATATTTGTACAACCATTTTGATTATTGTATTTTTCATTTAACCTTTATTTAACCAGGCAAGTCATTAAGAACAGGCTCTTATTTTCAATAACAGCCTTGCAGGAGAATTAATATCTCCTGAAAGACATGCAAACATACATTGCAATACACATATAAAGCACATATTTAATAAATTAATTCATATTATTTTATAATAATATTATTAAAATAATATTATTTAAATGTAATAAATAAAAACTCAGTTAAAACATTGTAAAAATGTTTATTTCATATACTGTAACTGTTACTAAAGTGATAGTTCACCCTAAAATGAAGATTCATCATGCGGATATGAATTTATTTATTCTGTTGAATGCAAAAGAAGATATTTTGCTGGTAGCCATTGACTTACTATGCACTGTAAAAAAAAATCCGTAAAATTTACGGTAAAAAACCGGCAGCTGTGGTTACTGGAATTTTACCGTAAAAAATACGGTAGCAACGTTTTAGGTTTTACGGTTTTAACTTAAATTTACAGTTAAATACCGTAATTTAATTTGATATAATGTTAATATACCAATCTATTGAAGTACTGAAATCTGTTTTGCACCTTAGTAATACACTGATAACCACCAAATGCAGGTCTTGATGAGAAAGTCACACGATGAACCAAAGCCCATCACAAGCAGCTTTTAGATAATAACATATATAGAAGGTGCACAGTGACATTCACACAAACACCAAACACCATCACGGTAACACATGAAACTGAAATAATGCAATAAACATTCATTTAACAACATTAGGAGTAACACACAACCCTAATATACAAAACTGATAAGAAAAAACTAAGAAGAAACATAGTTATTTCAACAAAAAAACATAACATTTTAAATGTAACGCAGGGAATTCTGGGAATGTCAATTTACGGTTATTCATTGTAAATTATACGGTATTTTTCACTTCCAAAAACGGTATACTACCGTAAAATTGATGTCCAATACATGTAATGTCCAATACAGTTTTTCACCGTATATAGTAGGGGAATTTACCGTTAACCATTTAACAGGTTTTTACTGTAGCATTTTTACAGTCTTTTACCGTTAAATTCATGGTCATTTTTTACAGTGTGGCTACCATTTCATAGTAAAAAATACTATGGAAGTCAATGGCTACCATCGACTGTTTGGTTACCAACACTCTTTAAAGTATCTTTTTTTGTGTGTGTTCAACAAAAGAAATAAACGCATACAGGTTTGGAACAACTCAAAATTTAAATTTTTTGGCTGAACTATACCTTTAAGACTCACCTTTGTTAACGCAACTGCAAATTGTAGAAACTTGTAACAAACAGCAGCAAAGGCCTGATGTTTAGTTGAAATCGGTGATGGTGAATGAAATCCATGATTTTCTTTAAATGAGTGGTAGTGAAAGGGAAATGAAAGTTCTTAAATTTGATTTATATGTTGCAATCAGACATAGTGGGAAATGGAAATATGCTAAAATTTGTCTACGGTATGTTATGATGTAGTAGTCTAGACCGGAAAGGGCTAATGATTAGGATACATAGAAAAAAAAATGAGTTAGTACTACTTAGTACTTGTAGCCCTTCACATCAATGCACGTGCGTGTCATAAAACTGTGCTGACATATTCATAAATCAATGGATTACGTGCTGATGTGCACATAATACAGCCATAAACCCTAGACATTCCAGGAAATAGAAAATAAAAAACGAAATGATTCCTGTTGGGTTATAAGAAGCTTCAAGGAAATAGACGTAGGCAGGGTTTCCTCTCAGATGTGTGCCCAACCTACATTTGAAACAGACACCTTTGTTTATTGTATCACGTTTTCAAACTTAACAACACTGACTGTATTAAACAGCACTGACTAACTCACTGAAAAAACCCATCATTAAAATACCAGATGCACATTTTTCATAACATACTGTATGCATATAGGTTTCGCTGTGCTAATCTTGTTTAGTGTGAATGTGATTATTAGGGGTATTTTGGTATATTATTGATCATATTAGGGTTAGCAACATCCCTAATCACACATGGTTTGTTCTAAAGACATACTGTAATTTACACATCATATTATTTCCATCACAGAAGTTTTGCAAGAAAATGCAAAAGCATTGAAATATAATTTTCCCTCTCATTGCATTTTTTATATCACTGTGTCTATTTAGAGACTCCACAGTATAATGATGTACAATGAGCAATATTTTTAACCGATAGAAACAGTTGTTTGTTGCTATTTAATATTGCATGAACTAATGACTTAATATTATGTTCAACAAATGATATTATTCATATTAATTTGAACCAATGTGGTTAACTGTAATCATACTGTAGTGGTTTCTGTTGTTATGTGGTAATATTATTTCCTTCATGTTCATGTTGTTACAAATACTTAAAGATTTTAAAGAGATTTTGGGCGTGTAATGTTAAATATGCTGTATTGCATTATGTGGAATTCTAAATAATCAATACAAAGCCTCGAACAATGGAAACATGCATTTTTCTCTGTGAAAACCAATAAGACGTTTAAATAAAACTACTAAAATACTAAATAATAATAAATAAATTAAAAAGTATGAACAGCTCAACTTTATACCAGTGTTATTTTAGTATCACTATTATAGTTTTTGGTAATATTTTAAATAAAAGTTTTAGGAATATTGTTGTGTGTCAAATTCTATATAATTTAATGTCTTGTATTTCAAGTAATGAAAATGTTTTTTGTGGATTTGATTTTATTGATAGTTAACAATAATAACCCTGCTATATACAACAAATAATCAACTTAAAGACATACCTTACAAAATCACAGACCATTCATATAACAAAAAAACCTTTTATATAGGCTACATAATTAATACAAAGCATACAAAGCCCATGACAACACAGAATCTGAAACGCACTCGAACGGACTAGAAAAACTATTTCTATACAATAAAGTGTGGCAAC